TTACATGAAAGTGAGAAATGTGCCTCTGAGTAGGGAAGTAGTCAGCTAGTAAGTGTAGGCAAAATGGAGTCAGTGGTGCAAGAATGAGCTTTGACCATTTAAGCACTAGAGGAGGAGAGGGAATCTTGTCCAATAGCTATCCAAATCTGTGGTGGGTGCTACTGGCAAGGCCTTTATATCGTGTTTGTGGCTCTCTCAGGCTATGTCAGTGGAATGCCCATAAAACACACCTCTAACTCTCACAGTCACTGAGCACCCTTTCAAGAACAAGGAAGATTTCATGCAGGTGCCTCTAGGAAGAGCAAATAGGGCATGAAAGTAAAGTTTGCACATCAACATAGTGACTGTATTCTTTTTAATGTCAACTCCTAAATTATTATGGTGGGTTTATGTGACTTTTTGAAGTAAATCCTCTTTTGGGAGATGGAGTTTTCCTCAGTGCAGATTTCAGAGTCTGCAAAGCTCAGGGCTAGGGGTGTATCCCAAAGATCTTGGGGGATTAATGAGTATAATGCACACTCTCTGGGAACATCTCTTTATCACTACATGTTTTTTTACTACGGTTATCTATAAATCAATTAACGTAAAACTATTACTATCATCATGAATAATTACAATAGGCTACGTAGTAAGGCATGGCACTTATGATAATTACTCCCTGCTCATCATACTATAACTCTAACATTTAGCTTTGCAATCAAAACACTCCCAGTAGCCAACCACTTAGAAGCACTAGAGATGCTGCTTTAGGTTCAAAACTTGGTTCTGCCTTTTCTCAGTTATGTGACCTTGGGCAAGTGGCCTAAGCTTTTTGAGATTCAGTTCCTCTATCTGTAAAATGGGGGCAATATGACTCAGCTCTCAGGATTTTTGTCAGGAATAAATGAATTCTTTCCATGTGGGAAGTATTCTCATGAGGGGAAGATTGCTCACACAAAATTTAATTTAGAACTGTGTTCTTTGGCCATGTTTATTCTAGGATTATTACTGTAGTCAAAGATGTATTTTGCTATTTCATTTTATGAACATCTAACATGAAGGAAAGAAAAAATCTAATATCTGATAACTAGGAACTCACAAGTCCCTTTGAGTCTCTCCGGACAATCCTTAGCTTTTCAATAGTGATGGTAAATTTTCTAGGAATTTTTCTGTCTTTCAAAATTCCCTCACCTAGATTCTCTGCATTCAGTATTGAAGTTTTCTAAGAATATCCTTTGCTCCAGAGAGTTAAAGAGAATGTTTACTTAAGAAATGACCTAAATGGTTCATCTTACGTATAGAAGGGGAGGCTGTGGTTGAAAGCTCTGGTTGCCATTCCTCTCTCCAAGGCTGGCTGTAGGGAAGTGATTGGAAGACCTTGCAAGGTGTCTTTCATTATAACCACACTGTTGTTTGCCCTTGTTTTTGACAGAGCAAAAATAAATGAGACTATAGATAACCTGAAAATACTTTAAAGATTTATTTAATACATACATATTGGACTCTATATATTGTAGATATGACATTTTCCCCAACATCACTGAGCATTTGTTGAGATTCATCACACATTAGAGCACAAAATAAAATGCCAAATAATAGTTCAAAGGAGAAGACATATGGACTATATTTTCTGACCACAGTGCACAATGGCTTGATTGCACACATACACAAAATAAAAAATCAAAGAGAATAATCAAACCATAATTACAGATTATTTAGAAATAAATGAAAATGTAAATGCTATTTAATATGGTCAAAGCTGACCTCAGAGGAAAATTCATAACCTTAAATGATTTTTTTTTTTAATCTCAGCAAAGAATAAAAGCAAATAAATGAAGCACATAATTTTCAAGAAGCTTGTAATAGGACAATATCGACAAAATTTTTTCCATGCATTGAAAAATATGGACTCAGGTGGGTAACCTGACAACCTGAGTGAATGATGCCAGTGGAGGAATATGGAAGATGATCACCTGTTGTTCTTGTACACTTCTAGGGTGTATTTTCAGGACTTCAGTCGGTTCTGTCTTTCATGAAGACATGGAAGATGTTCAGTAGCTGTTTAAGCCCCATGAGATGATAAAAATAAAATATGCAACCTTTTCAATTTAAAAATTTAAAATCCTGTTATCTTGTTATAATTTCAAGGTGTAGGCAAAAGTTTTTATTACCCACAAGAAGACTGAGTACTATTTAAAAATCCTTATTGAAAGCTAAGAAAAAACACATTCAAAGGTCAAAACACCAGGTGTTGTAAAAAACACACAACTGAATGGCAACTGAACTAAATCTAGGAGATGGTTGCAGGGTATCATTAAACTGGTTTTAATTTTCTGTTGGAGTTATTTTTAAAAGTTTTTGTTTTGTGTTAAATCTGTGGAGCACACCTGCTCACTCAGTTTCCTGGGGATGCTATTTTGGGCAATGCTGAGCTTTCTTTTATTCTCAGGTTTATACAGCCTACTCCTGTTGGTCGGCATTTGCTAAGGCTACCAGCATGATAAAGCTATTCTTCCTCCTGAGCTTTTCACCCCTGGGGTATACAGGTTCCCACTTTCTCCAACTCTCTTACAGACTCAGATCATGGTGTAATTGTCTTTAGTCCTACTTATTACTGATCATATGCTTTTGTCCTTTTTGATACTTTCTCAGTGAGATGTAGGAAGAAAGGGGATATTAGGAAAATTGAGGCTATCAGGTGATCGTACATTATATGAGAATTCTCTGCTGGAGAATTTTCGAAACTATGTTCCTTGGAATGTTGTTCCAGGAGAGGTGTTTCACAGTTTTAAATCCCTGTTTTGGGAATCACCATGAGAATTAGCAAATTAAGGGCTCTGAGAACTCCTGAGTAAATAAATCAGATTCACTAAATTTAAGCTTCTATTTGAGCACAGGATATTTTTTCACAACTGCTTTCCTGCCTGGGTCTGACTCTAGGCTGGGGCTGACCAGTAGGTTTCCTTCTTGTCTCTCTTCTGCTTGGAGCAGCAAGTTACCTGGGCTAGCATTTAGAGTCCAGGGGTCCTTTTTTGCTTTTTAACAGTACTTGGCATCATACATGCATTTTGATCTCCTCACTGCTTTTATTTTGCTCCCTTTAATAGCAAAGAGGGCAAACTTGAATAAGCTCCTACCATATGCTACTCTACCACTTGCTTTAAGTATGTAACCAAGATGCTGTCTTCCTCTTCATGTAAGTGTGTGTGTGTTTGTGTGTATGAGAGAGAGAAAGAGAATGAATGTGTGTTTGGTGTGTAGCTGGGGAGGAATGATCTTTAATATCAACCCTACCAATAGCCATCTGGACATCTATACCTAGGCTCTCTTTGCAACCCCACTGCTCACATTAAAGCTGCCACAGATGTCTACTACTGATGGGGGTAAAGGAACTTCTGTTCTCCACCTTCTGAAGCCCCAAGAAAGATTCAATCAGTTCTTCATTTCCAATTTTCCATGATAGAAGTCCTACAGCACTGGTGGTGAAGTGTAGGACACAGTTTTCTTGGTTTAGCTAGATATGTACCATCCCTTGGGTGAAGGCGTGTGTAGAAGGTGAGGGGCATAAGGCTGTTAGATTACACCATGAAGAATATCCTCCTAACCCCTTTTTAATTTTTCATATTGACACTCTACCTCTTTCCCTGTCTCCTTGTCACAGGCTGTCTTCATCTCATCTCCATTCAAAAATTGTGGTCCTTCTTCTGTACATTTTTGGAGTCTTAGAAATCTTAAAGATTTTGGCTATGCTTATTCTTGCCATTTCTGCAGATAGGCAAGAGAGGAAAATCTTTGGCTTCTAAAATCTTTGTGTGCATATGTGTGTGTATAAGCATTCATGGCAATCTATGTTATGGAGAGCAACTTGCTTTTTCCCTTGTGTTTGGATGACTCCATGTCTTTAGAGAACACTAGATAGCTTGCATTTGGAAAGGTAACTGCCTGCTAAGACTTGATGTCTGTAACACTTTGGAACCTCATTGTGCTAGAAGAACATTTTTCTCCTTTCTAACATTAACTCAAATTATAAAGCTCCTGTTGCAGTTATCTGTTTCTGCATAACAAACCACTCCAAAACTTAGTGACTTAAAAACCTGCACAAGTTATCTTGCTCATAAATCTGTAACTTGGGCAGAGTTCAGCAGGGACAGTTGAGTTCTGCTCTATAGTGTCTGTACCTCAGCTGCTGACATGTTTGATATTTCTACTTGGTCTCTCCTTGATGATGGCCTCAGAGTAGATATAATTCTTACAGTATCTCAGGGCTTCAGCAGTACTAAGAAATCAAGGCAGAAGCTTCAAGGACTTTTTTGACCTATCCTTAGATGTCATGGCCCTGGTTTGAATGGTTTGTCCTCTCTGAAAGTCAAGCTGACATTTGATTGCCCTTGTGGGGTGTTGGGAAGTGGGGCCTAATGGGAGGTGTTTGGGTGATGGCAAGGGATTTCTCATGAGAATAATGCTGTCTTGTGAGTGAGTTTTAGCTCTCCTGGGACTGAATTAGTTACTGTGAGAGTGAACTATTAAAAATCAAGGCTGCTTCATGTTTGGTCTCTCTTTGCACGCACCTATTTTCTCTTCCACTCCTTTGCCATGTTATGACACAGCATGTGACCATTACCAGAGGCTGAGCAGATGCCATCACCATGTGTTCTGGACTTCTTAGCCTCTAGAATCATGAGCCAAACGAACTTCTTTTCTTTATAAATTATCCAGTCTTCTGTTATAGCAACAGAAAGTGGAATTAGACAGCCATATAGTACCACTTCTGCTGCATTCCATTGGTTACATAGGACCAACCCTGATTTAATGTGTGTATGTGGGGGAGGGCAAGAATATGAGAAGTCAGGAGTCACAGTGGGGGGACTTCCTAGAAGGCTGGCAACCATATCCTCTAGTCAACTTCAAAAGGCAAAGTGATTTTTAAAATCAAATTAAATGTGCATATGATATGATACTACTGCATCAAAAAACTTCAGTGGACATCACAACAGAAGAAAGACATCAGGACACATGTTTCTATGCTCCTTCCAGCCACTGTGTTGTCTTTATTAAATGGAATATTGAATTAGAGGCAAATTACTTGGCATCCAATTACACAGAAAGGCCATCATCATATTATCTACCTTGGTTCTCAAAGAATGCATCTTGATTTTGTACACCTGGTTTTGCAGGTTGAATCAGAGAGGGAGGAAATTCTGGATGCTGGCTTTGAAATGAGACTAAGGCATCCAAACTTCTGTGAAACCAGCAGCCATACCTTCTCAGCTCCCAATTTCACACTGAGAAGTAAAAAAAAGAAATAAATAGAGTCTAATGATGCTTTGGTTTGGGAAATAATGCTTACATGCACAGGATGTATCCACTTAAGTCTTTTAAAAACCATTGTTACAATGATTTTATTGCTCTGTAACAAAATACATCAAACTGACATTGATTCCAAGGTCACTGTGAATTGAATTTAACCATATTCATTACTAATAGGATGCAAGTTTGAATGCTAGGAGGCGGCTGGAGGAGGAAGGCATCACAGTATATTGCATTCTTGTAAACATTAGTACAAATGCAGGGTAACAAGAGATTCCCCTAGATAATGCTAAATAGGTCCCAAGTTCCTCTGTTTTCAGAGGGATGAAACATTTAGGACTTTTTCCCTTTTACATCTGCTAGGGTTTATATAATATGCTGTCCTAAAGAATAATAGATTCCAATTTGGCTGCGTTTCTTCTAAGATGCTGTTGTTGATTCCTCTCCATGTTCCTGGTTCCCTGCAAGGTGGGTTCAACCTCCAAAATGAAGTCCTAAAGGATGGCATGAGGAAATAATGCTGCCCCTAATACAGAGGATGTGAAATGAAAATGGCTACCTTTTGCCACATCCTTTTCCCCAGATCCATTTCCTTCAAGAAAGACTTCATAACTGAAAGAGCTGTATAATCTTTAATAGATAATGAATCTTTCCCCACTTTACTTCTTTCTCCATCCTTTTCCTATCTGCTCTGTCACTTATGCTGGTAACCAGAGCAGTAGCAAGGATGGCCTGTCAGCTATCTTTGGGCAGGTCAGGTCTTTGCAGATGGGGCCATGTCAATGTAGTCCTCATATCCAAAGCACATCACCAGGATTTACTCATTAGAATAAAGGGACCAAAAGAATAGGCCAGCCACTCTGGACTGCACAATCACGAAGTAAGGGGTGAGATTGGGGGGCACTGGAATATTGGGGGCACGAGAGCCAGCCTTCCTGATGCTCTGCAGAGAGACTTCCTGGTTTCTGAAACATGATGATGCTGATTGATCAGTATTGGGAACAAGGGTTTGGAACCAGAATAACACTTGGCTACATGGATCTGAACCTTGTACTGGGGCCACCTTACAACCTGGAGCACTGTCCATGTGGTTAACTGACATCACATGGACAGGGAGGGAGCCAGGTCCTGGGGGAAAACTGTAATGGATAGCCCCACTGCTGCTGCCAGGCAGGCACTGGCCCTGAGGCCCTCTCTTAGCCTCTTCCCCACCTTGGGCAGTCTGGTGATGCTGTGTGGTAGGCCTCTGTTTGGGGACTGTTACTCCATAGTCTCAGATCCTTGAGGCTTCTCCCACTATTTCCTGGGGGCCAGGTGAGTGTGGCAGCTCCTCTGGTTGACACAGTGTGAGATGAGGCAGATGGTATCAGCATCACAGTAGAGCTAGCCCACTGCAAAAGGAGGTGGGGTCAGCAATCAGATGTTTTCTAGGACATCAAGGGGGACAAGGCCTCTCTTCTTTCCACTGAGAACTCTGATAAAGCCGTCTTGTTCTTCTTCAGAACTCACACAGATCTGAATGTCAAGGAAAAGCAAAACAAGACTTAAGTGTCAACATGAAAGAAGCTAGCACACTGTTTGAATCACTACTGACCAAAGTTGTAGGGACAACAAATTGGAAAAGGGACAGCAGTTTCAGGGTGGGAAATTGGCACTGTAAGAAAAAGATTTTATATGAAATTTGGCATAAACCTGGTTCAGAAGTAGGCCCACGCATTGAATGTTTTCTGATATTTAGCTTTGTGAATAAGAACCATAAAGTGTGGATTAATAATACTGTGACGCCTAGAAGAGTCACTTTAAGAATGAAGGGAGATAATGTTTATCACAGAGCCTAGCTACATGCTAGCCTAGCTATACAGCATGCTACATGCATGGAACATGTAGAAAGCAGAGTTCTCAATGCAATTATGTTGAAGAACCAAAATAGCAGCTATCATTCCTATCATGTGCTGGGAATTTTATATGTACCTCATGAAGTATCAGGAGGTCAAAGGGAACTATTTCATTCCTGGCCCCAAGCAAATAGATGCTGACATTTTCCATATTTCAAAGTAAGTCCAGTCTTTTTTTTAAACTTAAAAAAGGAGGCAATAAAATTTGGATACCTTTGCCACTTACCACTTATAGGCCACTGAAGAGCATGGAAGAGTGAATGTGGCCAGACATAAAATTAGGAGAGATTTTTGAAGAAAACTATTAGGATGTTTTTTATTTCTCCTGCCTCACCTGCTTTCATGGATGGTATGTTTTGTCTTAGGCTATGCTCCCTAGAAGCAAGTCTGAGCAGGGATCTTTGTGTAAGTAATTTATTCAGTGGGTGCTCTCAGGAAGGGGGGAGGGGAGGGAAGCAGAATGGGACAGGGCAGGGAGCCAAGCAAGAATGGGGTCTCAGCTGGAGACCAACCCAGCCTGACTCCAGGGGTGCTCTGCAGCAGGCCTTGCATCACAGTTATCTCACTTTGAAGCAAAGGGTCCTGCCTTTTGAACTCCATGTTGGTCAGCCATGGACCACGGGCTAACCTGGGGTGTGAAAGGCATAACTTTTCAGGCAAGTCAGCTCCTGCTCTCTCAATGTGGCCTCCCTGAGAAGGGCAGTGGTGATGTGAGGAGAGCACATAGCACCTAGGAGATGGGCGCACTCGCCTAGTAAAAGGGACTTGGGCAAGACTCCTGCTGAAACCACCACAGTGGGCTCTTCTGTCACATGGAATGGGACACTTAAAGAGCTTAATTTGTGACCTCTGAGGGACTGGGGCATACAACAGACTAGCATGTATATCTGACTCATGTTTCAGAAATCTACTGTATGAGAAACTTGATTAGACAGAGGCTCAGGTGGTAAAGTGAAGTGATGAGCGAAGGATGTGCTGACTGCTTTTTAAAGACCAGATGTCAGATACTTGCAAGAGATAAATAGCCCAGAGATCACATTATGCCCAACAAGAGCCTGATGGGTTAGATGACCCCCAAAGGAAGGGAAACCACCAGGTTTTCAACAGCTGAGACCTGCCATTGCCCATGCCAGAAACACTGCAGGTGAGAGGCCCCTGTGATGGGCAGGAGTATATGTCTTGAAGGAACCCCCCCCCAAAATGCCTCGAGAGGAAGATTTACCTTTAAAATCTATCAAAACATTTATGTTTTCTTCCTTATTGAAATGTGCTAAAATTCAGTAATCCTTAGTATAAGTCCAACCAGTTAGCATTAATAAAAAGCCAAACACCTGCTTTCTGATATGGGCTTGTTCTTGGTGCTTACTGAAAATGTGTTCAGTTTAAATACTTAAATAAAAAATCATGGGACCACACCTATGGAGCATATTGCAAGGGTACATGCTCAATCTATCAAGTGTTGAACATAAATGTCTTAACACAGTAATCAAGTAAATGAAGCAAAACTATATTAATTAGTTTGATGTAAGCACTCCAAATGGTATAAAAAAATCAACACATTGTACCCCACGTATGCATAAATGTGTTCATGATCTATGTATATATGACTGAATAACAGGAAAAAAAATCAAATTTGAGAACAATTTACTGACATATGCACACATAGATGTTGTTATCATGGTGATGCTGAATAAATAGAATTGGGCAAGGATTCAGAACCCTAAGATCCTGGGCAGAGCTAAGAGTCTTATACCACTGCCCCATCCCTTGGTAATCTAATTGATCTGAGTCTGTTTCTATCCTCCATGTTAGGGATTCTGTTAGTTGTTTGCATGGCACTTAGCTCCAGCCAATAAAACAAGATGAAATATTTGTTATGGGACTTCTGGGAAAGTTTGTTTTTCTCTTACAAAAGATGCATTAGGAAGAAAATCTTTTTATCTGCCTGGAAGGGATTTTTGGAGTGTTTGCAGCCATCTGTGACCACTAAGGGAGATGGCTGGCATTTCAATGGTGACAGAGCAGAAGGGTAGAAGAATTTGGTTCTCTAATAGGATCAAGCTACTAAATTACCAAAACTATCCTGTATCAGACCCCTGTAATTGAAGTAAACTATACCCTTTGAGATTGAGTCAATTTGAGTTTTATGATTTGAGATATGCATTGATTTGTTATTGCTGTTGTAACAAATCTCTACAAACTCAGTGGCTTTGAACAACACAGTTTGTTATATCACAGTCTGTAGGTATGGTGGGCTCCAGCTGGTTTTCTCTGTCTTGGTTTCATAAGGCCAAAATCAAGGAGTGAGTAGGGGTCTATTCCTTTCTTTCCTTTTTATTTGCTTAGGGGTGAATTTAATTCCAGGCTCATTTGGGTTGTTACTGAGTTCAGTTCCTTGTGGCTGTAGGGCTGAGATCTCTACATCCTTTCCAGGGGTCATTGTTAGCCTCTAGATGCAGGCAGAATGGGGACCAAAGACCCCATTCTTGGCAGGGTAGGACACTCCCAGAAAAAGGGAAAATTAAAAAGTAAGCTGAAGGAGTCAGAACGAAGAAAAGTTAGCTAATTTACCTTTAAGCCAGCCATTGCTAAATTTCTTATCTGAACAAGTTTCTGGCCTTTTCTGAAACTCTGGCCTATTGGGGATAAGGCTTACACAAATACCCTGCTGAGTCTGTGAACACTCTGAGGAAGATAATGGCTATAAAAGAGATTATGGCAAGACCTAGAGTAAATACATCTTCTAGGTCATTTCCTGCCTATTAAAAAGACAAGCAGATACCCATTGTGGAGATTTGCATTTGACTGGGGCAGAGACCAAGGGAATATCTCCAACTCTGAAATATGGGCAGGAGGGCTTACATCCCTTATCACAGAGGAAAACCCTCTGTGGTGGTGATGAGAGGAAAATGCCACTCTCCCACTGATTCCTCAGAGGAGATTAATGCTAGTGGCATTTTACTCCACAGTGAACTAGCAGAGTTTAACACCTCCCTAGGAATCTGTGTGTGTGATTCCAGACTGGATGCTTCCCCCACAGAAGGCTCAAGTTTCAGATTCCTCAAAATTGCTCAAATCCTTAAAGTTAATAATAATAACAATTGAAGCTGATATACTCACTCAGAGAAACTGCTAGTGTCTTTGTTCCCTCCCTCAGTTTACCACCTGAGCAAAGAGATTTCAATAAAAGCCGTGTAGAACAAAGACTCAAGGCTACTCACTGGAGCCCATGAACAGGTGGTGGTACCCTGAGTGCCCACCTTGAAAGTTATGTGTCTTGTGTCTCTTTCTTTATCTTCATCCCTAACTTTATATTTCTTCAGTCAGTTGTGCCAGTTCCACAGGTCTTAGCAGACCCTGCCCCTGGGGTGGGACCCTGACATTTAGAGGCCACCTTTGTTCCTTTGGCTGTGATCCCCTTTCTCCATCTTCATATCCAGTAGTGGTAGTTGAGTCCTTTGCCCACATTATCTCTTTCTGACTTATTCTTCTGCCTCATTTCTTCTCTGCCCTTTTCTGCTACATCTGTCTGACTCCAGCCAGATAAATTTCTCTCCTCTTAAGTGGTAAAGTAATTATATTTTTCCCCACTTAGAGAATCTAGTATATCTCACCCTTTCAGGGTCCTTAACCTTTATCATATCTGCAAAGTCCTTTTTGCATGAAATTTGGAATATTTTCTATTGCTGCCTTTACAAAATACTCCATTATTTTATGGCTTAAAACAATACCAATTTACTATCTTACAGTACTGAAAGTTAGAAGTCCTAAGAACAAAGTGTTGATCAGGTTGCATTCCTTCTGGAGGCTCTAAGAGACAACCTGCTTCCCTTGTCTTTTCTAGCTTCTGGAGCCCACCTGCATTCCTTGGCTCACAGCTCTTTCCTTCAGCAGCATAGCATCTTTCAAATATTCCTCTCTCCCTAACTACTGCTTCCATCATCACTGCCTTCTCTGACCCTGACCCTCCTGTCTCCCTCTTCTAGAACCCCTCTGATTACACAGGGACACCCAGATAATCCAGGATAATTCCCCATCACAAGATCTTTAACTAAATCACATCTATGAAGTTCCTTTTGACACATAAAGTAACACATTTAAAATTTGGAGATTATGACATGGGCATCTTTGGGGAGCTGTTATTCTGCCTGCCACAGATGAAAGGATCAAGACTGTTACTAAAACATAAAAAGATATTATGGGAAATATGTCTGGGTATAGTAGGCCAAAGGAAGACTTGGCCTCAATGTTATAAGGAAATTCTTGCAGTGAAGAGATAATGTAATGAGATGCAAAGAAAATATGCTGTAGAAGAAAGGGGTTGGCTGAGAAGAAAATACCTCAGGGAAATAATAAATACTAAGTTAAAATCTATGTAAGAAACAATGAAAAGACTGAATTGAAACTTCAGAAAACCAAAGTGAAATGGGGACTACCTTCAAACATTCTTAGAAGAGGAAGTAGAGCTAGAGAAAGAAGTGGAAAAAGATGGAAAGATTAAAACTATAAGGGAAATGTGATAAACTAGAGGTGAAACCAAAGAACTATTAAGTTTCTGGAAAAAAAGCTTTAAGATCAAAAGGCCAGTGATAAACTGGGGAAAACATGGCCACATATGTT